TGCTGCTCCTGCCAGTGGCGGGAGCTGTGCACCATGGAGGGAGCATGTCGGGAGTTCCCCCAACCCCCCTCCTCCCTCATACCCCACAAACCCCACATATGCACACCCTGCCCCCACAACCCCCCACATATACACCCCCCGAACTACATCTTACACCCCACCACACCCAAAATACAAGAGTAATACTTTGTTTTTGACCTGTTATGCAGTTACCTATATATACACTACACAAACACAAATTGTGACACATTTTTTTTTAAATAACCTGAAAATATGTTATAGTAGATGTTTGACTTTTAGTATATGATTTGTTTTCTTCTGGTTCAGATGGCAACTGCCTTCTCCTAAAAGGAATACTTCTGGGGACAAGGGAAAGGACTTCTGGTGGCAAAGGTCAGAGGTTAGGGGCAGGAGTTCTGGTCCAAGATGGTGACCAGGGGGTGGGGGTCCTGTCAAGGGGCAGGGCTATCCATTCAGCCCTCAACAGTTTACCAAAACTCATTAAGCAGACCTCCAGCTGAAATAATTGCCCACCCCTGGTTTACACTGTGCTGCCCCCCCGGGGTCAACTACTTATCCCATACCCTGATACACCTGGACTGCACCCCACACTATGCTGCTCCACAGTCCACCCTGTAGTCTAACCTCTGATGCCTCTTCTTCCCCTGTCCTGGCACAGACCCCAAGGAAATACTATTTGCCTATTTGCGACTTAGCAGTGTTACAAGAAGACAAGACACAGCTGCAGTGGGAGCACCTGGCTGGATGGGACACGAGGGAGCTACTGAAAGCCCTGAAAAGAGCTCCAGGCAGGGTGCTGTGCTTCCACTCAGACATACATTGCTGTGCTCTGTTTGCCCTTCAACACTGTTTCCATCTTCTTCCCAAGGACAGAACTTCAATCAAGCTCTAGTTGCTTTGTTCTTTATGGATGACTCTTTTTTTAAAAAAATTATTGACAGGTGTTTTTAGCATTTTAAAAAAATGGAGTGGCTGGAAATATAAAGAGACTGGGCAACCCTGATGGTAACAGGCAATGAAAAGTGCTGCAGTAGATATTGATGAAATTGCAAATACTGTGGTGGTTTTCCAATCTAGTTTGATTTAATAGCAACTAAATGAGAAAGGAGTGTAAAGGGGAAATGTCAAAAACAAAACAGAAGGAAGGCAGTGTTGCAAGCAGATTACCTTTGGAATGAAGTAGCCTTTGAGAGTGACATCTACGGTAGTCACACGGGGCACACTCATTGGTAGGATATTAGCAAATCTCTGAATTTCATGGACAACTGCATCTGTGTAGGGCATTTTAGTTCGGTGTTCGATGCGTGGTAGATTCGATCCTAGAACTCTCTTAATCTCGTCCTGGACTTTTTCTGTAAAACAAGATATAAAAATAAAAAAAGGAGAGCAGCACTCACTGAATCCTGAGAACTGTTTTACGTTTCCAATATGAAATACACAGAATTACAAGTTATAATGATACAATAAGCTTTCAGAAATGTCTCTTTCCAGAAATAATGGGATACCTCCAATATTGGACCTTATTACATTTGCTCAGGACTACCGAAGCCAAATGGAGAGTTTCTGAAAAAAACACATGTAACCTACTCACTTTATTAATTTCCCACATAATAACATTCAGTAATTAAGCATGAGCAGGACAGAGAGACTTTTATGGTATTTTATATTATGCAGAGCAATATTATTATTATAGTACTCTATAATATGCAGTTCTGTCAAAATCAGAATAGTTCACAAACTGTAATTAATGTAAAATTGTATTTTAGAACAAAACCGGGAAAAAATTGATACACACCATTTCAATCATATGGTTTTTATGTTAACATTATGTTATTTTGCATTTTTCCTTATTATCATGAAATACAGAAAAAACAAACTTTAAATTAGATATTTTGTTTAGTTTAAAAGATAAACCCCAATTACTTATTATTTTTAATAAGAATCTATTTTATTGGAAATAATAATGCCTTTGTAGCAGTACATTTCCAATTTTTTGATTGAAATGTCATTTTGTCTGAGTGTTTGTAATGCTTAGTACTCTCTGGTAATATGATGTTGCATTCAAATTCAAATTTAAAAAGAATTGTTTTGATTTTGTTTTGTTTTGATAAATGTCTTGGTCATCCCTATCCCCCCTCTAATTCTATTTTATGGAGGATTTTGAAAATGTGATGTTGGGTCTTTCAATGGAAAGAAAGCCTTTTATTGAATGGTTCCAATTCTATGTGAAATGAATCTTCTTTCATTTGGTTCTACTTTAGGCCTTCTTCCCACTTATAAACAATGTCTAAAAACACTGCTGCACTCTCTTGCCATGAACAGGAAGTACTATTTTTATGCATGATAAATGTAGGCAAGGGAGGAAAATATCTTGATTAGGGGCAGGGTGGGAAACAGTCAAATTTATAGTTCAGGAGTTCCAGGTTTTCAGTCTTGGGATCAGGCCACTGGATCAGCCAACTCTATAATTATTAAGATAATGGAGGCGTAGAATATTGTGACCTGTGCTGAGAGATTTTAATTCAAATATGCTTGTCTTCCGTTGTGGGGAAGATTCCTGTCTCGACCTCCTGTGCCAGTTTCACCTGCACATTTCTGGTGAAAGATAAAAACATTTGCATTGACAAGAACACAACACCTCCAGATTTCCATAAATGTACTAGATATCTGAATCTAGATTCAACAAATTAGAAAATATAAGACAATGTTAAGCACATATAAATAGAAGCTTATATTTTCTAACATTAGCTTATATATTTTAGATAACATCAGCTTATAAGCATTTACTTATGTGCTTATGGGGAACTGTTCAACTCTCTAGGCAGCCTGGCTATCTTAGCTCAGGCTGTAGCAGCTGCTACCTTAGATTAGGGTCCCCTAGTCCCACTTTATGTATGCAGACCACAATCATTAATCCTACAAAAACCACTTACGTTGAATGTGGGGATACTTTATCATTAGTAGAAAGGCCCAGCACAGCGTGTTGGAAGTGGTTTCTGTGCCAGCAAAAAACAAATCACCTACAAGGGATTTTAGATTCTCATTGTGGAAATAACCATTGGTGTCACTTTTTTCCTGGAAGAGAGGATGGTGTGGGGGGAATAAAGATTAAAACTCAAAGGTCTCCCATTGGAAGTTGAATTAAGAAACATTTATTAAATAAAGTCTATAGTATAAGTGTGTGATAGAGAACCAAGAAGGCTTTGTGCAGATGCCCCAGAAAATACACTTTTATTTGGTCTACTCAAGCTCAGTTGGCAAAGCTCTGAACATCCTGACCTTAGTCTAGTTAAAAACATATAAACGTGCTTTGCTTTAACATATGAATGTTCTCACTAATGGCAAGAGGACCTTCACATGAAGACAGTGTAAGAGCCCTATCTTAGAATATCCTGTACTCTTTAGGGCTGGGGACAGGCATTATACATACACCAGTTTAAGTGATCAGAAAATGGTTTAAACCTGTAACAGAACAGAAATGCAGTGCACATAAATCACTGTGCCCTAGCATTGTGATGGAGATGCCATAAAAGGATCTAAATATCATATTTTATCACTTGTAATAAAAATGGCTGAAACTGGTTTGAGATAAACCTGGTTGAATGTAGTATCAGACTTAACTAATTAGGGTCATACTGGTTTATGTAATGTCTGTCCCAGACCCCCTCCTGATTTAAGTTAAACCAGAGTCCCCCAGCATCCCAGATATTTTGCAGTCCTGGGCTGTGCTATCTGTTCCAGAGCAGGGCTGGCCCCACTCCTCTGCTCCCTGGCTGGAGCGCCAGCAGAGACTGCAGGCACAGTGGCATCTGCCTGGCTTCCTCCTGCCCACCCACTCCTGCTCAAGCAGGGATCCTCTCCTCCCCTCTCCCATAGCACGGACCATAGCTAGCATGTGGTAGCTACTGCTGAGAGGTGTCTGCATAAGGCAGACAGGAAAAGGCAGACAGGACAGTATCTGCTTAGGGCTTTTTGGAGCTAATCAAAAGGTCAGTTGGTAATGTTCCTCTGCTTCTCTCTTGGAAAAAAGTTGTTTAAGAAGAGCTTGAACTAATGAGAGAGACTTTTGTTTTCTTGATGGGGTGCTAAATGCTCTGCTATCAACTCTCTGTTGGCTCCCTCACTGATCAGGAGGAGTGGGAGGTGCGGGGGGTGGGAACCCCTCCCTAATCAGAGTCTGCTGCTCGTACCTGGCCACACCCTCCTCAGCTCAGCACTGTGGGACGTAGGGAGGGCTCCTCTAGCACCTCATGGCTTCTAGCCTAAGACACTGCAGGCATGTTCCTGGATTTCTTCAGTTCAGAGGGGGTGTCTGTGCAGTTGCAAACTGGTTCAGCCTAACCAGGTTAGATTAACTTGCAAAGATTGAATCAATTCAGGCTCAGGATTTTTGAATGTCTGTCCCTCGCCTAGCAGTTAGGGTATGCCGTTAAGAAATCAGGAATGCTTGCTCAAGTCTCCTCAGACAGATGAAGAATGTGATACCACATCTCCTGCTTCCCCTGTGCATCCCCTAATCATTAGACTATTGGGAAAAGGCCTCTAGTACCACTTCAACTGGTTATTTTTTTGTGAAGTTTTAATGAGTGAGTGCATTCAAAGAACTCCTGCTCGCTCATCCGCTGCAGGTGAGATGGGTAGAGGAATGCCTGCTCTGTCCAACTCAACAGCAGAAGGCAGAACAGAGTGGCACCTTATAGAGGAATAAGGGGCATAAGATTTTATAAAAAAACAGCTTGCCTAGAAGCAGAACATCTAGTAGCCATTTAGGTGATTAGGGAATGTTACAATACATCAAGAATTCAGTTTTTAGCAGTTGACTAACATCTCTGAATGGCCATGATGGCAAACCTCTACTGACAACTTGCTCCAAAAACATTGGGGCTTCTCCAAAAACACATCCAGAGAGAGGAAATATTGCTTCCCTCAAATCTGTCCTTGAAACTCACCTTTTATTGTTATGTCTACAAAAAAATGTGGGCACATCAGGCAGCTGATAGGCTGAGAGTCTTGCCCATTATGGTTGTTGCAGGGCAACAAGAACAATGGAGTGGAGACCTCTTTTTCACAGGCAGAGCAGCAGTGGGAAAACCTGGTGGTTCCAAGGAAACAGCCCCCAAACTCCTGCAACCCAGAAAAACTTACCTGGTACAGACATGGTGGCGAGAAGAGGGGAACCACAGGTGAAGCCACCCATGCAGTTCATCACCACTTATCGGTGAGGCGGGGGTGGCATGGGATGACATCATCAATCAACACCAGCAGTCATCTTCAAAAGCCATCTGCCGGGAACAACCTGGAGGAAGCTGTATGCTTCTGGCCGGCACACCCAGCTGTACCTCAAGCCAGGATACAGTCTCAAAGAGGAGCCTGCCTCCATCAGGAGTGACACCAGGCACTGCACAAGGGAAGGACACTGAAGGACTAACACGACAGCAATGTGCTGGGACACACGAGTAGGGAGGAGAGATCTCTACCTCCCTGATTCTTCTTTTCAGTTTTGTTGTTGTTGTGATTTTTGTATTACTCCAGGAACCAGAGACTGAGGCCATGTTTAGTGATATTACTCCAAGGGCTGGGGGACCAGGAACCCTCAGGGGGACTCTGGGGTGGAGGACCTGGTCAGCCAGACTGGCTTGCCTGTCTGACCCAAGAAATATGGCTGTAAGGAGGAAGACTGTTTTCCTGTGTCTACTGAGCATTTTACAGGCAGAACACAGCAGGAAGGTTGGCTGACATGTGACCAGTGTGCATCCAGTTGCTTTATTTAAATCCATTAGAGGACTAAAATTCATTAGAGGACTGATCGGGGTGACAACACACACACACTGGTGTCTGAGAGAGCTCAAACTATCAAGTGTATGGCCAAGACCATCAGGTTGGCATATGGAAGGGGCGTAGGGGAGGTGGAACCCCAAGGATGTCCACATGCGACACCTCCAAGCAAGTCCAAGACAGACAGGAACCTCTCACATCTGAACTGAAGAGCAAGACGTGGCAGGTGAGTATCAGGGGCCTCCCTTAGGAGGCAGCACATGGTGAGCGCAAGTGCCAGAGGAAGAGCAGGCCTGAGCCAGGATCACCCAGCTCTGAGCAGCTCGGGAGTAGTTGCTTGAGCTTAGGCAGGCACAATGGCTACATAGATAATTTCAGTGTTTCCTGTTCTCTGTCTGTTAGTTGTCTCTTATTTTATACTTAAATTATACATTCATTGGAATCAAGATTATCTTTTTGTGCAGTGCCATGACTGAGATTCATGAGTGTAACAAAAATAACAGAAAAATATTGCAGCTAGTCCAACTGATCACAAGAAACCAAGAGAGTTAGAACTCCAAATCTTATGAGATTGGTCCATCAGGTAACATTTTTGGATGGTCATTTGTCAAATATGTTGAAATAACATCATCATCAGCAGCATTATCGTTATTATTATAATTATTCAGAACATTGCAAAACTTGTTCAGAGTCAGAAACGTTCCTAAGTGTCAGATAATTATCTGAGACAGCCTGAACTGTCACTGGGAACTCGGCACAGAGGAAGTCTAAATGTATCGTGGTAACTTGAACAACACATTGGATCCTAATTTTTGGGAAATTCCTTGATTCAAAAAGGGCTAAGAGCCACAGGCTATTTGAATAACTTGGCAAATTTCTTAGGTATCTATTTTACCAAAGTCAGACTTCCACACAAATATGTTTTTAGCTGCAAGATATGAGAAGGAAACATGCAAGTCTGAAGAAATGGTAGAGACTCCATTACCTCTTGCTGTTTTACAAGGAAAGCATCAATGAAACTTCGCTGGTCATTTCTGTCCAGTGTTTTGAGGTGTTCCACAAAAGTCTTTTCTATAAAAGTATGAAATGTATCTCTGTTTTGAAAAGCAATCTTGTGACTCTTCAGGAGAAATCCAAGGGCTGGGAACATATTATAGACCTAAAAAATAAGAGAAGTCTGAGAAAGGAAATGTAAGTACTGAGAACAGATAAGTGGGTAACATGAATCAAAGGTGTGAAAAAATTAATAAAGAAAGTGAATTATTTTATGCCTTTGTTTTATTCAATATACTCTTCAGATCAGCTGAAGGTAGAAGGCATGGCAGGGAGGACTTGGAGACTAACTTGTTCAGAGTCAGAAACGTTCCTAAGTGTCAGCCTACTTCATCAGATGCTATGAACAGACTAACTGTTAACTGAGGCAGAGGACATTGTTCCTGGAGATGTGAATACCTCGCAAGCTTTCATGCCTCATAAGCTGAGCCTGACATATCTGGAAGGCACAGGAAGGAAGCAATAATTCCATAGTTACTCTGAACCCTGATTCTTCTACCTCTATGTATCAACAAGGAAAAATATGTTTAGCATGATTTGAACGAGTTACATGCATGTGAAATTGGGCTAATTTTGGAATAGTATAAACAGGGTGCATCATTAATGTGCTGTAGTTACTGCTCATTAGGTATAGCATTTGCATAACTAATTACTAAATCAATGTGCAGTAACTGGTGCTACCGTGCAGTAGGACCAGCTCATGGGTTTTTATAGACATTAACTGCACAGTAGCTTAATACTACTGTACATTATTAGCACAGGTTTTACCTGGCTTGCTACTACATTGTGTTATTAGATTTCATAGACTTCCGAGACATTAGGGCTGGACGGGACCTTGGAAGATCATCAAGTCCAGCCCCCTGCTCTAAGGGCAGGAAGAAGCAAGATGAGAGAATGAAGGTACCACACACCCAACATGGGGCTTGAACCCATGACCCTGAGATTAAGAGTCTCATGCTCTACCAACTGAGCTAGTTGGGTTTAACTGTTTTATATTACTGTGCAATTAACATCTCACGTAGACATACCTACAGAGTGTCCTTGTTCCCTTTGGGGTGGAATCTGAACTGCACAGCTGGGTGCCCTGGGACTTCTCAATACCACATCTGTACAGATCTCAAGAATGCCACTCCACCCCCTCACTTCTGCAGCGCATGCCATAAGTCCTTAAAATGAAGCAAGGTATTGCACCTGGGGAGGAAGAACCAGCAGCATACCTACAGGCTGGGGAACTCCCTCCTTGTCAGCACAGAGGCAGAAAAGGATCTTGGAGTCACTATTCATTCCAAGATGACCATGGGCCGCCAATGTGGGAACGTGGTCAGGAAGGCTAACCGCACCTTGTCATGCATCCACAGATGCATCATGAGCAGGTCCAAGGAGGTGATCCTCCCCCTCTATGCAACCTTGGATGCAGTACTGCATCCAGTTTTGGGCATCGCACTTGAGGGGGGATGTGGACAGCATCGAGAGGGTCCAGAGGAGGACTATTCACATGATCGGGGGCAGCAGGGCAGGCCCTATGAGGAGACGCTACGGGACCTGAACCTGTTCAGCCTCCAAAAGAGAAGTCTGAGAGGGGATGTGATCAATTATAATAAACATCCCAATCTCAAGCAGCTGAATTTTGGGTTAATGTGTACATTGTATGCAAAAAAAAAATGGTATATGACATATATGTCACATAGCAACTATAAGAGGCTTGTTTCTTGTATTAGAGTAATGGCAGATCTCTTCTATGCCTTAAGATGAGGAATGGGCTGTCAGCAACAGGGATGTGCACATCACTTGAGAGTAGTTGCATAAGGAGACAGGCTGTCACAGACCAGATCCATGGACAAGTCCAAAGGAGGGGGCCCTGATGGAATGATGAGACTAAGGGTGGAATGAGGTCTATCTTATTTTACAAAGATGTGTTTCCCCTGAAACGTGTCTGTTCTAAACCAAAACCAAGCCATTCAGTAAATGGGTGCCTAATTACCATTCTGTTCATGACTCTGTGGTGCAATGCAGAGGCCAGAGAGTGATGGTGGAGTTAGTTCTGAATGAGCCACTTAAAGAACACCCACAGGCAGAGGCAACATGCCCTGCTTTACCACAACTTGGACTCTTTTTTTAAAGCAGTAGACCTACTTGCTAGGTCTACTTGTTATAGGATAACAGGAAAGTAGGGCTAGAGGGACCTCATGAGACCATCTAGTCCAGTCCCCTGCTCAAGGCAGGATTATCCATACCTAAACCATTTCAGCCAAGTGCCTCTCCAACCTGTGCTTGAAGATTTACAGGAATGGAGATTCTACAAGTTCTCTAGGTAGCCTGTTCTAACGCTCAGCCATCCTCACAGTCAGAAAGTTTCTCCTAATCTCCAACTGTAATTTCCTTTGTTGCAGCTTGAAGCCATTGCTCCTAGACCAGGGGCAGGCAAAGTCTGGCCCACGGACCAGATCCGGCCAGCAGTGGACTCCATTTCCCAGCAGCCCCTCCCTGCTTGGCTGGGGCCGGTCTCCATGGAGCCCCAGCTGGGATAGCACAAGGCTGGGGTTGTCATGGAGATTGGCCCCAGCCGTGTTGACAGGGCATATGACAAGGCAGGGCAGGGGACTGCTCTGGAGCTGCTGGGATCTTGTGGCGGGGGCAGTTTTGCTTGGGGCCAGGGCAGAGAAGCGATCTGCAGCCTGCATGCTCTGGGTACACAGGCAGTGGATCATGGCTTTGCTCTGGCTTGGAATCACGTGTCACCACTGCAAGGAGCAGGAGCATCTCCCTGGCCTGCCCCGCCATGCACCCTGTGCATTCACAGTGCAGCTCAGGCTGGGGTCTCCATGGAATCTGGCCTGGCCATGCAGGCAGGGGCTGCTGGGAAATGGAGTCTGGCTGCCAGCTGGATCTTCCATTTTGCCCACCCCTGCCCTCAATGTACCATCTTCATCCACAGAGAAAAAGCTATCTCCCTTCTCCTTATAATCTCCTTTCATGTACTGAATTCTTACCAACTCCCTCCCCCCCCCCCCCAGTCTTCTCTTCTCCAGAATAATTAACCCTAGTTCTTTCAGCATTTCCTCATAAGTCATGTAGTGCAGGCTTCTAATATTTTTTCTCTCTCTTTGCTATACTCTTTCCAATCTGTACATATCCTTCTTAAAGTGTGGGGCTCAAACCTGGGCACAGCACTCCAGGTGAGGCCTCACCCATGCCAAATAAAGAAGAAGAATCAGTTCCCTCACTTTGCAAGTGACACTCCCATTAATACAACCCAGAATGCTAGTGGCTTCTTTTTGCACCAAGAGCACATTGTTGGCTCATATTCAACCTATGGTCCATTATAACCCCCAGATCCTTCTCTGCAACAATGCAGCCTAGTCAATCACTTACCAGTCTGTATTTTTGCATGCAATTTTCCATCCCAAGTGTAGCATTCTTCACTTGTTCTTGCTGAATTGGAACTGCTCGACTGTAAACCATTCTGGATCCTAGCCCATCCTCTAGACTGCCTGTAACTTCACTTAACTTGCTGTTATTTACAAATTTGTTAAATGTGTATTTAATCCCATTGTCCAAATCAGTAAACAATACTGGACCCCTGGGGGCCCCCACCCAATATCTTCTTCTAATGAGACATTGAGCCATTGATGGCTCCTTGTTGAACATAATGGCCAACCAGTTTTGTATCCCCTTTGTAGTACTTTAATCTACAGTAGTAGATTTATATCCCCTTTGTAGTACTTTCTATAGATCCTTAGTTTGTTAATGGGAATGGTATGGGAGGTAGTGTCAAAGGGCTTGTTAAGTCAAGGTGTATCATATCCACTGTCCTTCCTCCATTCACAGAGCCTGTCACCTTATCATAGAAGGCAATTTGGGTGGTCAGGCATAATTTATTCATGGTAAATTCATGCTGGCTGCCCTGCTTATCTGTCCTGCTCATTTTGTTCATCTTGAGGAAAACTTTTTAGGTAGCAAGGCCTGGCTGACTGATCTGTATTTCCCAGGGTCTTTCTTTTCCTCTTATGTAGAGGTGGACACTATATTTGCTCTTTTCCAATAACCTGGAACTTCACCCAATATCTATAAGTTGCTCTGGCACCCTTAATGTGGCACTCTTGAAGTATAGCCAGCTGTTATCCTCCAATTTATTGGACTGCTTCTGCTTAGAAGGAAAGATTTAATATTTTGCACAGGCCATACAACAACTTCTATGTCTTTAAACAGTGTGTAGTGAAAAATACTTAAAATACCGCAATTGAGGCACTTCCAGCAATGGTGATGTTTTCATTGATCAAATTTAGAAGTCTAATGAATCGTGTGTCTTCGTAGCCAAACCTCTCTCCGAGTAATATAGATACAATGATATTAGCAACTGCTCCAGCCATTATTGAAGCGGACTCAAAGGGCTTTCCTAAAAATTGGAAATATTCAAATCACGGGATGGCTGATAGGAAGTTATTACTATTCTTTATTCTGTCTCTTTACACATAGTGGTCCCAATCAGGAATTAGGACAGCATTGTTCTGAGTACCTTGCTGATATACCCCACATGCCCCACAGAAAGAAGACAAACAGTGGGTAAAAGCAGACATTACTCTTTCATTTGCAGAGGGAGACCCTGTTGGTCCTTACATGATGACATATTATCATTAAGGGAGGAGCTGCACTGGAGAGGTGGGTTGTTTCCATCACCATCACAGTACAGTCCACGATTCACAGGTCCTTGTTCAGGGTCATTAGGTGGGGGGTCATAAGGTCTAGGTCTCCAAGACTGGGGATGAAGCACGGAGAGAGTCTGTGGCACAAGCTTTTGAGGTTCAAAGATTTGCCTTGGAAGGATGTGGGTGCCCAAGAAAAGGAAGGAGCAAACACCTGCAATAGCACTTGCATGGTTTTATAAGTTGCCTTTCACTTCTTTAAACAATTGGAACAAAAAGATATCAGATTAATTGGATAGTGGCATTTCCTTATGGGAGAAACTTTAATGAAGCAAATAAATTCTTGTGCAAGCTAAGGAGAATGAACCTTAGCGGTTCTGTGAAGTCAAGCAGCCACTCACCTTTCTGAGATTCCAGTTTCTCTATCAGATATTCACACTCTTCAACAATCTGGTCCTCAATGGCCCTCTTGCCCATTCCAAAGTCTCGTAAGGTTGAGAGAGTAAATCTTCGCATCACTTTCCAATTTTCCCCGTGTGATAAAATAATACCTGAAATGAAGAGAATACTTAGAAAAATAGGCTAGAAAAATAATTAAAACCACTGCTTCTCAGAAGTATTCAAGATACCCCTCATCTGCAGTATATTCTTCATGTAACAGCGAATGAAAACACAGCCATGTCCTCACAGAAAACCTTTCAAGATCGGAAAACCTGCTTTTAATCCAATACAGAATGTAAATGAAGAATTCAAAAAATAATTTAAAAAACATGTTTTGGGGGAAAAAGCATTGCTTTGGGGCAGTCTAATTGGGGCTGTCTGATGTGAAATTAGGGTTGCCAGTTCTAGTCATTGCTCTGCATGACTGAATATCTACCATACACACTCCAACCACCTGGCCAGACTGAGTTCTTACTTCCATGGAATTATTTATGTTCCTGCAACCCTCCCCAAGAACATTTGCACAGAGTGGTTTAAGTGGTAAACACTAGTCTAGGATGGTTTAGTCAGGGATAATCCTACCTTAAACAGGGAGTTGGACTGATGACCTCCTGAGATCCCTGCCATCCCTATTTTCCTAGGATTTTCATCCAAATTTACCCAAACAGAGGGGAAAAAATAGATTTTGATAAAATAAGATTTTGTGATGGAGAAAAAATGTTTGACAATTTTTTTTTGGTGATCTTTAGCTTGGAGGCACTAGAGGGAGTAGAAAACAAAATAGGAAAATTATTTTAGGAGAGCTGTAAAGAAATTGTTCCTGGATGTTAGGTAGGATTTGAATGACATGAAATTATGATTGAAATGTTTTGAAAGACATTGGTATTAAGTACAGCAATCAAAATGGTTATTGAATGATATACTGATTCCCTCATTGTTTTGGTAATCCATTAAATTCAATTAAAGTATGTCTGTACATTTTGAGATGCATTTTATATAACCATTTTTATAGATATTTGCAATTGTTCTGCAAAGCAAAATTGTCCAGAAAATTTCTACAGCAAAGATGGGGTCAAACCTGATGGAGCATTAGTTACATTTCCTTATCCATGATGTTGTTTCTTATAAACATATTTAGTAAGGTATATGTAATCCACAAAGCACTTAATTATGTGTAGATATTCAAATCTTGTTATCTTCCATGGAACTTGAAACATTCATAAGGTTAATATATGTCAAACATTCCTGAAAAGGGAAGTCTGTCTTAAACTTGTTTATATCCATCCTACCTATGTCTAAGAAATGCTTTAGCCCAGTAATGGAATGAGTTCTGAACGAGGAGCAGTCCATTACATAAAACTTATATGAATGGAGTCTGCGATGATGTCTAAGAACAAAGTTAATGTGAGTAGGGACTATTTGAATATTGCAGACCCCAAATGTGAAGAACCATGAGTCAAGTCTCCCAAATCATAAGATTTTCAAAGACAATAATTACTGGGTTATCTAGTCAGCTCCTTGCTTTATAGTCTTGCATGCAACGTGCCCCCAAATGGCATAAGCAATTTGTTTTTGAAAGGCAAAATGAAGAAGAATAGATCTTTCCTTAATTCTGCAATAGCAACTGCTGTAGGGGGTATAACAGGGGGCCTTCTCAGGGCCAATTTCCCTGTGGCCCACCCACCTGTTTCTGGGCTAACTGCCTGCCTTCTCACCCGGCATGCCTTGTTGTTAATTAATTAATTGAATGATGTTGATTAAACAGGAGGCTGCCCATTTCTTGCCCCAATGCCAGGAGGTGCTATATGAGGCTCTGTTCCTCCCCTACACCATAGCCCAAGCCTCGTAGATGGCATCCAGATGTTACCAACATCACCGCCGCAGTCTGGGCCCCAAATCCTCCAGTCAGGACCCCTCTGAGATCCCTCCATTCAGGCAGCCTACTCTGCCTTCATTTTGGGCTATATAGCTCCCTGAGCTGCTTCCCCCTTATGGTTGTGGTTCCCCTGGGACCTTTGGCTCTACTGGCCCTGGCCCACCTCCACGCCAGTCAGAACCCCAGGCCCTCAGCTCTGGGCAGCCCTCGGGGTGGGCCCCTGACCCTTTGACCCTTCCAGTCCTGGCCCCAGCATTGACCAGTCAGGAGATGTTCAGACAGGTTTGAGTCTATGGCCCCACTCTCTTGCTGGGGTCCATCTTCCAGACCCTTCAAAGTGGGTAACCGCCCGGTTGCGGGGGCTAGGGGTTAAGGAGCCCTGACTCACCTTTCACCAGGGTGATAACTGGCTTGGCATTTCCTGGGGGCTTCTGTGCCCCTGAGAGCCCCACCAGGCCACCCATTCCTGGCAGGGTGCAGTTTTAGGTCATGGCCAGGATGAGGAGCCTCCTGACCATCCCCTACAGCTCCTCCCTTACCTCCAGATGATACCAGCAGCCCTACGGCCAGGCAATGTTATTGCCTGGCCTTCCAACAGCAAAATGTCTTGTTTATATGGGCAGCCCTGAATCTAAAATGGCTGCACTAATCAGGCACCTGCCGGCTGCTGTTTTCTGGCCCTTAAAGTGGCAGGCACAAACAGTGCCCTGCCACAGGGGGAAGGGGTGGGGAGAGGAGGAGGAAGGGAGGGGAGGGAAGAGAAAGTGTTCATCTTCAGCTTCCAGAAAGTCCCAGGTACAGCACTATAGTATCAGTTTCCTTATCCCCCTGGGAGAGGCAGAAACTGTTATTACCATATTTCCTCAACTTTAAGGTCCACTCTAATTTCCAGGAGCTGAAATTTGGAAAAAAAGATGTGTGTTGTATGTAAGAAAATGTGCTTCACCCCTACCACTCCCTTCAACACACGCACACTTCAGGATTCACATGGTCAATGCTTTGTCTTCAACAGGGTAGACATTTATTGTTGTGAAAGAAAGCAAAGATTCTCATGTGAAACTAAGAGCTGAGGCTTTGGGGCTGTCCAACTGGTGGCCTGCAGGTTGCATGCAGCCTTCAGGTTGTTAACACATGGTCCCCTGGCTCCCACCTGGCTGCTACTGCTCCTATTGCTCCAGCTGCAGCAGAGGATAGGCAGTCCCATCTCTGCATGTGACTCACTATGGTTTTTTTCTCATCCACACCCATTTCACCTTAAATCACACCTACTGACTCCACTGAAGTTCCCTTCATTTACATTGATTTCCAAGGGCATTCATTCAAATAAGCATATTAGTGGATGAGGGATCTGATCCTTCTATGGAAATAAATTGCTACTTGTTTGCGTAAGGTTAGTTTATGAGTACCAATAAAACTAAGTCACCATTTCCTTTGGATACTGCTTCAAAAAATGGGACTTTAGGTCTCTCTGCAAATGCATCTGCCTGGTTCACAAGAGCTTCCTTCACTGTCTCGTAACCTGAGATCACCACCATCTTCGTTAATCCCATCTGAATACTGAAGACAGGGCCATAGGTTTCCGACAGCTTAAGTGGAAAGAAAGGAAAATCAGTTAGGGTAAATGCATCCATTGAAGTCGGCAGAGCTACACCAGTGGTAGATTCGGTTTAGTTTGCTTGAAGCTGAAACTACAGAAAGAGCCATGAAGAGAAATATAGAAAGAAATGACAGTCCATATCACTATGCCTCCTTTGGACTGGATCTTAGGAATGGAAATTATTTTGTAAACATATTAATACACCTTTAATTTTTCTCACGTGAAGTGTTGCCCCCTTTATTACAGCAGGGAGTCATATAACTGTACTGATAAATTGTTATTTTGACTCAAGTTAATTACGGGTGAAATTCTTCATTAATGCAAACTCAGGTTCACAAAACATGGAATCTAAATGAAGATCCAGCTGGAATTAATCAGACCTTCATGTTTGCAACTAGCACATAATAGAGTGATGAAGTATCACATTGAGCGATCTGCTAGATAGATGGTATGTGTGTCTTGAGAAAGGAGGCTGTGATGTAAAAAGTGTATTTAGGAAGGTCAGAAGGGGGTCAGAGTTTCGGGTAGTGCTAGGGTTGTATCATACTTGTGTGAAGCAAGTGTCAGATCTGGTGATAGTAGTGGATTTCTAATAAGTATCAACAGTGATGAAAGCAAGTACTGTAAAAATAAAAAAAAAAAGCAAAGAGAAAAATGTGTTGTGGGTGTTTTGGAGATAGAACGATGGAAAGCCAAGATGGGAAAGCTGAGTTAGGACCAGCGGTAGAGCAGTCATCATGGGAAGCTATTCAGAGAGAAACTCAACCCTCCGGAGCTGGTAACACCACAACAGGTGACTTAATGTACACCAAAAAAGAAGTGACAGTCCATGATTCTCAGATCCCTGGCAGAGATACCAACTAGCAGAGGAAATTTGGAGAATGAATTCCTAAGGGAGATGAGAGAGTCAGCAACTGTGCGTCATGCAGCAGTGTCAATATAAGCAAGAGGAAGAAGACAGCCAGGGGAAGGAGAATTTGAAATGGAGGGCAGTGCCAATGGTCCCCAAATTACACACATGGAGCCAGAGCCCAGATAGCCAGAAAAACTGTAGAAAACTCTTTTGACTTTAGGAGGCAAGGTGATTCAGTAATCCATATACTAAAACACGATTTACCTCTAGGATAGTTTGAAAGGGCCTCTTCAGATCCATGATGAGCAGATTTCCAATGAGAGGTAAAGGCCTCGGTCCTGGGGGGATGTCCTTTCTGCTGCCTCTCTTCCAGAAACTCGCACTATTCATAACAAACAGGACAGTCAGGGCAAGCACCAGCAAAATCAAACTAGTTTCAGACCAATCCATTTCTCTTCAGCAAGCAGTAGGGGTGATACTGGTAGAGCACTTGATGTAACGTGAAGCCAGCCAGCCAGTACACAAACATTGTGCACAATGGAGGATTGAAACCCTTCTGTGATTGCATAATAATTTAGTTTCTCTCCCTCGCCCATGCTAATCTGCTTTCAATGGATGCAGTTTGATGCCCAGAGGCCATTACATGCACATTGTGTTTACTGAAGGCTTTTCATTAGTTTGGGATTAAAAGTAATGTGGATCCTTCCCCCTCATTTGCATTCAGGTGTGAATGTGTACTGTATGATACACAACATGCTTTTCTTGTTGCCATAGGTAATTGGTGGAATTCCAGATTGAGAAAACTAGTCTTGCACCTTTGAAGCTGGGGTGTGAGATGCATCCAAGCAGGTTGAATAGTGCGCTGTCAGCAGGTGCTTAAAAATGCATTGCAATAACTCTGCTCCCATTGAAGTCCATTGGGCTTCTGAGAGAGCAAAACTAGGGGACCTCTGAGCCATTTAAAACCCCCAATTATGATTCTGTATGGAAATCAAATTCACCTGTCCGTCCTTTCTGAGACATCAGCTCTTCACATGGGCTTGCTATAATACAGCTTGGGGTTTTCAAGGAGATGAAAAGTCTATGGCACCAAACTCCTCTTGACTGTTAATTGGAGGGAAGTGCCTAATTCCCATAACTCCTTTGAGAATCAGAGCTACACAGGCTGGATTCTGTTTGCCGGACTCGCACAGGTAGCAACGCAATCTCAGAGGATCAGCTCTCTTGTTACACACACAGGGCCTCACCCAAGGTCCACTCCATTCCCTGCGGTTTTTCATTGGCTTTTTTGTCACGCCTCAGTGCTGGAAAATGGATATCACCATGCAGGCAGGAGAGCGATGGGAGAGGCAGTTATCAGAAACTTGTTTTATTTTTTTCCTAACGCTCAAAAGGAGCTCTAGGAAAAGGAGCACTGATTGGGTAACTTTGACACCTCTCCTTACTTGACAATATTTTTGAAAATGGCCTGAGTAAAGAGTTGGTAGATAATGAGCTGGGGAATTAATTTCTTGTGAGTATACACCTTCAGAATCTGAGCTAAAGCCCTTTGAAAGTAATGACATCAGTGTGATTTGATTTCAGACCAATAAGTGTTTTTTTTCTTCATCTAATAAAGAGTAAGTGGGTCAAGAGCCTCCCTATAGCAAATGCTACAGTTCTCACAGTTGGATAATTCGATGTGCATGATTTTCACCGTTGTACCTCACAGCCAATTTAAATCAACATGTGGGCCAAATGCCTCTGAAAAGAAATCCAGACGTACTGGTGACAGATTATTGTGCTCTGGCAATAAATCTGGTGGCTTTTTAATGGGCACTGAATTAAAAACTGAGAAGGAGTTGCTGGGAATATTGAGTCTGAGGAATTACATCTCAGATACATAGGATCAGCATGGTACTATCGAGGGCCAAGTGAATCCATGGGTGTACCTGGTCCAAACAGAGCAGGGGGGCATGTTGAGGCAAAATCATCAGGATCCTTGAATACTGGAGAGTGGAAAAGTGTTTGCCTTTGAGAGATTTCTAGGCAGCATATATGGAAATAGAGTACAAACCCCTCATAGCATTGTTGAACCAGTTATTAAATGACTGTGCTTTCAGGATTCAAAGAGTGATACTCAGGGTGCAAAAGTATGGCTTAAGTGTGACCTACACACAAAGTACATTTATGTTTGCTGTGGTTGCACTCTCTAGAGCTATACAGCTGGCTATGAAACTACAAGAGACCTTTGAGACAGACATGAAAGCTTGTGTAGAATTAAGTGTCAAGTTGCTCCTGATAGCATAAAGGAAACTGCAGCAAATAAAAAAAAAATAACCCACAGAAATGGAAAAGGACAATTCATTGGGATCCTTGAAAAAAATGATAGATAAATATTGGCCAGAATACAAAAGTAAAGTTCAATGTACATGTAGCAGTTTACTAGAACAGCAGACGTGAACTTTCAGTCGTTGAAAGGCTAGTTTTTAAAGGTAGAAAGGAAATGCTGCAGAAGATCCATGAGGACCATTTTGGAATTGAGAAACATAAAAAGGGAGCATGTGAAGTGATGTGCGAGCCCAGGATCAACCATGACATTGCAAACACAGTGGGGGCACATGGAAGTCCAGGCAGGGGTGAAGTAATGGGACAGGCAGTGGAGGGGCATAGGGGGACAAGTTGTGGGGGCAGGTATTGTGGAGGTAGTGGGGCAGGCAGTGAGAGACGCAGGCAGCTTGCTCCCTGCTGTCTGTCCACCCCTGCTTATCCCCCATTGTGCTACCCCCACACCTGCAGCCTCAGGCTGCCCCGATTCCCTTTCCCCTGCTCCCCCATTCTCCCCACTCCATGCCCACTTTTGCCCACCATAGCCTCAGGTCCCCACTCCGCTTCCTCCCATCTCCCCCACCCCCAAATCTCACCCCTATGCTTGCCCCCAACCCACCCTGAAACAGCCTGAAAGACTCACAGAATCTTATTAAACAAGCTTGAAAAAAGGAGGAATAGGAAAATGAGTGGTAAAGAGTCAATCCAGATTACTTATGCAAGTAATCTCTCCTCTGCAAATGGGCATTGATTGCTTTTTGGGTGAACTGATTTTTTGCAGCTGTTGTTAAGAGGGAAGATGCAGTGATAAAAAGTTTTAATTTAAAGAAGTTCCCTAAAAGGAGACTGAGGGAGCTGGGAACTGGGAGATGTTGCCTCAAGCAGCAGTTAGCTAGCTGATTAGTAAGAGAGATTTAAGACCTGCAGAGGCTTGTCTACTGCTCCATGGATAGAGTTGATTGTTTAGTTTTTCTTGTTCACGTGTTGACTGAACCCGGTGATTGCTATGTCCTTTTTACTGGGCTGCAGAGGGAAGTTGCCTTTTGCTTGCTTGCCTTCTGGCCTAAGGACTCTTTTGTCTCTTTGTGCAGTGCCCCATCTTGAGCAGTGTCTTTCCCCAGTTTTGTCCCTAGCCTGGTGTTCAGAGCACTCCTCTTGGAGGTGGAGCATGACTATTCAAGTCTTCCCTGCAAACTCTATGCGACGCACACTCCGGCTGACCTGCCCACCCATAGCCCTGGCAGCTGATAGGGCTGAGGGGGGCTGAGGGGCTGTGGGTGGGAAATGAGGGGTACAGGCAGGGCCAGGGACTGTGACTTGGGAGTGAGGGGCACCAGCAGTGCCACAGGGGCTGTGGGTGGGGAATGAGCGGTACAGGCAGGGCCAGGGACTGTGACTTGGGAGTGAGGGGCACCAGCAGTGCCACAGGGGCTGTGGGTGGGGAATGAGGGGCGCCAGCAGGGGTTGGGGGCTCTGGATGGGGAGTGAGGGGCGCCAGGAGGGCTAGCGGCTGTGGGTGCAGAATGAGGGGCAATGCTGTGGGCAGGGCATCATCATATCAGAGCTGTTTAGAGGGGACAGCCACAGCTGGACCCGCGTCCTGGTGAGTTAAGGGGGCTGGGGGAGCTCTGATTTTCCATTGTCAAAACCCCAAAATCAAATGGCAAAAATTATAGTTATTTAGAATTTAATTTATTATAGTGATTGAGGCACTGGTAGGCTTCCAAATTGCTTTAAAATTGTAAATATATCAATAAAACATGTCCAACTGATATCTATCTATCTATCTATCTATGCAGTGGTGTTTCATTTTAATCATGGAAAAACACAGATTTCAGGGTTTTTAATCAGATAATTTTTAGGGGGGGTTGGGTTTTAAAATCAGAGAATTTGTGATTTTTATACAGAGAAAGCCAGGATCCCTGGTAATGATCGTCTATGAATCAGCAGCTTGATCACCTGCAAGGAGTTGTTGAACTGGGCCATGTACAAAAGTTCATTTTTAGCGGTGGAAATTTTCCACCGCTAAAAATGATTCTGGTAGAGGGAGTAGTCTGAAAACACACCCTCAGCCCGGCTGTTGGCACCTTCCTAAGACCAGGTGATCTTAGTCTGGGGAAGGCAAGGATTGCACCAGTGCGCGTGGGGATTTTTACACTTGCTTTCAACACGGCACCGGGCGCTTTAGTTAGTGTACTGCACTCATTAAAACCACTTGTGCATCACAGCGCAATGCTTTCCCACACTAAGAAAATGGTGGCACATTGAATGTGTTTTATTTCAAAGCGCACCACTGCGGTTTTCTCAGCGTGGAGATGCACTGTGCCGCTGATGCACATGATGTGGGAAGCTGCCAGAGCACATCCATTTACATGCTCCAGCTGACTCGATTAATCATTTCTGCTCTGAAGCACTGGATTTCCAGCACATTGGAGCAGGTTCCCCCCATGAGTGTAAGTGCCCCCCATTTCTAAGGGGACTAGAGCAGCAGGACAAATGCCTCTGCCGGCTTCTCACTCTGAGGTCTCCTATAAGGTTGCAGTCTTGAACCTGGGGCTGTGATCAAGCAGCACAGCTGTTCCTCTTGATTAGCTAGCCTGCAGTTAATTGCCAAAACTGCTCAAGGCTGCCTGAAACCTCTAGTGGGGCCAAATCCTCCTCCTACTCCCTGTCACTGGGATGGCTGGCTGGGGTCAACTGACTGTCCCCTTCCCATATAAACCCTGGAGCCAGAACAGGAAATGACTGGATAATAGGGTTCTTGCTGATTTAAGGTCACTTTTCTATTTCCACTCATATGCTTTTTAGGCATCTCTCTTTTTGATCTCTTGGCTCCTGGATTTGGCTTGCCTCTAGATGCTGCTCCTGGATTGAATCCCTGGTTTCCTCTCCCAGTTCGATCTCCGAATCTTCTGATTCATTCTGACCCTGGTCCATGCCTCAAGCCCCAAGAAGCCCTTGACCTGGCCTTCTATGCCCCAGTGTGACAACTCTGGAGTGAGAAGCAGGTGAGGGGAAGTGCTTCTCCCTCCACTGGCTTCCCAACCAACTGGGACTGAGCCCTATGGCAAAGCCCCCACCCACTCCATGCACCTGGGACCGGTGTAAGGAGCAGGTGGGTGCTTTTCTGTGCTACCCTGGGGAAGGCACGGGAGCCTTTTCCCCCCAGCGTCACTCCTCCTGGTCCCTGGGAGGAGAAAAACTGAGGGAAAGTATACAAATGATGATTTTCTCCTTTTTGGGAAACTCTTCTGGGCAGACTTCTCCCTGGTTTGATTTGGTTGATTTTTTTTTTTCCTCCCAGAACCACTACTTTCTGGTCTAGGAGAAAACGCTTGACTGTTTCTGCAACACTTGAATGTTTCTGCCACATCACTCAGACTGTCTTTCTGAGTGATATATATATATATATATATATAATTTAAAATGGCAGGAGTTTTGGAGTGGTACTAAAG